ATTCTCTCGTAATTTTCCCAGAGGTGAATTCAAGCTCTTTTGGTGATCCCGTAGGAAACATTTTAAAGCAACAAAAATTAAATTCGTAGCGCTTGCCAGAATTAAATCTTTCATAGCAAAATTAATAATTTAACTCCTAGTTGGTTGGACGGAATCTGTATACTGCTCCAAGATAAAAAAAGGTTTTATCGCGTTATTTACTTAAAATTCATGAATGTATTATATTAATTTGTTGCATTTGAAACGAGTCTAGAAATGAAAGCTTTATTTTGAAAATGAATATAGTTCTAAATATAATTCTATATTCCTGGGATTAAAATTAAGTGATAGATATAAATTGTATTAATCTCTTTGCCATATCTATTTAATTTACCGGTCTTAATTACATTTGTACTATTTTGTAAACTCAACGACAGGAATTATTATAAATTCGAGGAAATCCTATTTGGTCCCTCTTAGTCACCTTTCGTATTACTATTAAGGCGCGGTAATCTCTTTCGAAATGAGTTAGGTTAATTAACAAAATCTCTGGAAAACAGCGAATGTTTCTCATAAATCGCGATCATTAATTTACATTAATGATAAATATGAGAAATCCTGCATTTAAATTGACACGTCAGTTTTCGCGTATAACTTGATGCGATGAAAAGTTAAGAAAGTTCTAAGATTATAATTAACCTTATTTACGATATTGTGCAAGTTATATGTTTAAAAAACAAGATATCGTCTTATAAATTCAAGCAAACTTGGCATGTTTTATCGTCAAATTATCGCGATGTCGCATACGCGAATACAAATTTTTTTAACAATTACGTATATATATCTTCATAAAGTATAATTTAAATTGTAAGAAATTTCCTTGCAAATGTGAAAGGTACGCGTTTGTTTTCATAAAACATTATTGCGTCAATATTAAATACGCTAATAAATGTATATTATCTAAATCAAAATCGGCATCAGCATCCCCCGAGTGATTCTTATCTTCCTCATTCAATTTCGTGAGATTCCGGTTTGCGGATAGTCTGGTGTTGTTGCGTTGCTTTCCTCAAGCAGGTCAAAGTTTGATTATTCTTTGTTTTATCCGATGCGCAATCTACAAAACTTTTCGCTTGTTCAACGCTTCTCCTTCTGCTCCTTTTCGACAGGAAGCACGAAAAGCCGGTGGGGCTGCTTTCTGCAACTTCCCTCGGTCAAAGATTAGTTAAATCGCAGATAGCCCGCGGTTTTCATCCGGCATTTCCGGTTCAACGGAGAATGTGTCTACGTGCTGATTCGCGACATGCACAGAGATGCCGCACGTTCGCGGACAGATGCGGAGGCATTTACGTGTGCAGAGAACTCGCTAGAGACAAAGCTAAAGGCCACACGACCCTTTGGATTTGCTCATAACGAGATACCTGCCCGCGGTGGCAGCTTTGAGAATGAGAAGTCACGCAAGTTCGAACTCGAAGCGAAGAATCAGAAATTTATGCGCGCTTCCCTGCATAGTAATGTTGTGAAGCACGATTTCGCGTTAAGTGAATTATGTCCTCCATTTCTGAAGCAAAGTTCTCCAACAACGTTCGTATCGCGCATACTGAATTTTACTATCGATAATCTATAGACATTACATATTAATTGATATTGTAGCTTTTTAAGCGTATTTGATTAAAAACATCTAGGATACGATGGAAAGTGGACAATACAGAGGATATAATCCAAGAAATGCTGATTGCAATAAACCTGCTTGTTATGTCGAAATTGACTATTTAAAAAATTATTAGAAAGCAGTTTTTTTGAAGAATCGTGCGAGTTCTTTCCTTTAATGCGAAAGACAGTTTTCAGTCTTGAATTACTCCGTTAAGATTACGCCATGTCGTCCGGCTTTGTACATGGAGTACAATGCGTCTTAACGACGATACATTATAAAATATTAAAAGGATAGCTCGCTCTCTCAAGTGTAATTACAAACGTCAACGGGGATGATCGAAAAAGGCGAATGGTCTCTCTTTTGTTTCGTCAGCTTTTCTACGACGACCTGCGAATGTTCCCGTTTAAAAGTGTTTGTTAATTGCAAAATACGTAATGACGGTGATGTGCTGATCTACAGTATACTCTGAATTTATAATATTAATGTACATTATAAAATTCTGACTTGCGTCATTGCGTCATTCTGTTCGACAGGTGTTATTTTATAACTATTGGCGACTGTCGCTCCATTAAATAAATGCCGCGTACGCGCAAAACTATTTAGGATTTAATGTTGCGAAGGCGTACCACGGTGTGAACTCTCAAACGCGCGGTAATTCCCGGCGCTTTGCCTTCATTCGAATGCGGACGAAACAAAACGTCGGTTTAATCGCGCCGCGTTCGTGACCAAACCACAATTCGTTACCACCACTCGCGCTCCTCCACTTTTAGAGTAAACACGAGGTCATCTTGTTTTGTAAACTGCATTCGGTATGCACGCCAGTGCATTCGCCAATTTACTCGAAATCCGTCCGAATTTCAGATGATCGTCGGAGCGCGAGTCGTATCGAAATGATTAACGAGACTCGATATTGAAAACGAGATTTCCCCTTTCCCATCCCGACGCAAAGACAATAGATTTTACAATGAATCGTTTCGACAAACGTCATTTCACGCGGCATCAGAATCCGTCTTTCTGGAAATAGGGATAAAGGATCTATCCCTATCTAAGGATCTAATCCCAAGGTTTCATATATTAAAATAATCCTGAAATATTTTGGCGATGAAAAGAATGCATTTACATATATGCATAGCATTTCTCCTTACGCGACGAGAAACCCCGCATGTGCTGAAGCAACATCAGGAGAGCCAGAGAGGTCTCGCTTGATGTGCTGATTTCGCCATTTTTTTTCCTACGGGCGCGGTGTAAAATGCGTGAGGAAATGTAAATTATAATAGAAGTGAGAGAAGAAGACGAGAAAATTTGAGAGAAATCTGTCTATCCGCTCAGCGATCTCACTGAGGCGTAAACGGAGTCGTACAGCATATTATAAAAGAGTCTTAATTAAACATATCGTATTTCCGCTTACATTTATATGAAACGTCTCCACGAATTGACAAAGTAAAATCTAGATTGCCCGTGTCGCAATTATTCTATACTTCACCATTGAAATGCACGGAAACGAGCATTTTGCTAGTTTATATTGTTTTTCCTTTTAAGCGGCCTTTATTGGCGCGAGTCTGTGTAACCGAAGGACGAAAGGGGAACCGATCGCCATCATTATATTTCAAAGCGCAACTTGAGCGAGCATTGCGAAGAGTATTTCCTATGGAAGCGCCGCAGACCGTTGGAGCGCTCTATGGTAGTTAGGTCGCGCTACCAGAAGATATTCAAAGCTATTCCGAAGCGAGGCATCTGACAGCGGTTTCGGTTTGTCGTCGGAAGACCATGCGGCAATGTTGGGCAAACAGAGAATTTGCGAACTGAGATTAGGAGTAGTTTCAGAGGCTTAGGCGGGAATTTAGAGACCTTAAGAGTCACAGATTCGAGATTAATTAATAAGCGTTTTCAAACGCGAGACAAATTATTTATCTCGCGTCTCGTATTGAGGCATACTCGCGGTACCTCTTCACCTTTTCCCTCGTGCCTTACATTATGCAAATCCGCGCTTTCCTTATATCGCACGTATTACACGGCATTTCCGTGATAACGTCAAAGTAATTGCGCGCGAAGACCTTGCATATCTCATCATGCGCCTCGTGTGAGCGCATTATTACGACGCCTCAATGCACCAATGCAAAACTATTTTTCGCAAATTACAAGAGCGAACACGCGAGGAACAGAGTTCCAAATGATATTTTCAACTCTCCGATGGGAGATTTCATAATGAGCAGCTACTGATTACCGAAAGGATGATGTGATTTAAGCATCGATGCAGAAGAATTAATAAAAGTTTGACCGTCAAGTACATATATATATATATAAAAACAAATAACAAGTACTGTAGTAATATATATATATATATATATGCAGATTTGACTAGCAGAGGAAAAAGTAATTCCGGTGAAATTATCATTCCCTCTGTGAGCTTAACGTCGCTCATGTAACGAGGTAACCTGTGACGTCAATCGCCATCATCTAGGTACATTCCTCAATTTTTCGGCGAGCAATACGCGCGTGCCATTTCTAAATATCGCTTAAGCGATAGCGAGAAGACGAGTGCGGGCAGATAGGAAGGCTGCTGCCAATAAACTATAAATTTCAAGCCGAAAGCCCCGAGAATCCCAGCGCAACGTGTTAGTGACAATTGAGAGGATCTGAAAAATTCGCATGGACTTTAATTCTCGCTTTGGTTTTCACTTTTTCTAATTTGATACGTTTTCGATGGAATTTTATTAACATCTCGCCAATAAATAAGACAGACGGCAATTTTATGCGGAATAAAAATTATATGCAATTACGTAAAAAATAGAATACGATAAAAAGGATATCTCCCACAGGAAAGAATAAAGATTTGCTAACTAGTCAATTATCGCATAACTTCACAATTCGCATCCTTCGTCATAATGCTGCTTGGTTAACGAAACAGAATAAATGCGAATAATATTTTTCAATGGTTGGCGGAAGAAATGTATGAGAAATAATCTGATGATCGATTTATATAAGAGAGATTGCGTCCAATAATTCCCTGCTGCTGGAATTTAAGACAAACGGGATCTGTCGTACAACTTCACGGATTACACAGTTCTCTATCGATAACCGAACACGGAAATCAATTGTGAACAAGGACGGTAATGATGCGAAAGTGCGGAATTGTTTCAATCGGGAGTTTATTCATTTGTCTTGCATTTTAATTTGCGTCTCCATTGTATAATTTTTATCTGAAACTTGCGTATTACTACAGTACTTGTTTTTCAGCTTATCAGAACTTCTGTGTAAGAAGAATTTCTAATCGTATTAATTATTTAGTTATTAAAAGTAAACGCATTTCCGTCGACGTACCAATTGCTAAATAACAACAACATTGAATTTCGTATTCCGGCTGACTCACCTTAGTATCATTGTAAATAAGCCGCAGGCGAAAGCGCTTTAAGATATTCAAGTCGTTGACGCGCCGGACCGCCAATTTGGCCGCTTGAAGCTCGCTGGATCCTTCCGGTCTCGACACCGTCCTGTTTGTCATCTCAAAGAGACCCAGGATGGTTATATTTATCTTTTCCACCGATCTCGCACTCGGCGTCGTTACATCGATCTCCACGCTGCTGTCGAAATCATTCCTTTCGCGAGTCGCGTTCTCGAGCTCACTATCCGCGGTGTTCAAGGTCACTGCAAATTTTTCATCGGTGCTGGGCTTGATGCTCGAGAAATTCGACAAGCGTTTTCCCGACAACGTGCCGGGTAGCCATGATTCATCGTAAATGTCATTCCGCCCTCTGTCCCCCTCTGTCGTCTCCTCGCTTCTAACGTCCTCCTCATCCACCTCGTCTACGTCACCATCGTCGGCACCGTCGTCGTTCGTCTTGCGATGAAGCACATCTCTGCTGGGACTCTTCGGTAGGTCGGGAAGCACGGTGTTCGGGTACCATGTAGATGTTTCTTCAAGTACGTCCTCCTTGTGCGGGCCGAAGTGCCGCCTGTCAAACTTTTCGACTTGCGGCGGCACCGGCGGCGACTTGTGATTGATTTTTACAGGAAATTTCTGAGAACCCTCGAAGCCGGTGAAAGGCGCTTCGCTGTCGACGTCGATAACGGTATCGCTGTCGTTGCCAGGCGTCATCGATATGTCGTTTACTCGCGCCAAACGATCCCCGTCCCCGTATCCTTGATCCCCGCTGGATTCCTCCGCTCTTCCAAACTTTGTCCTCCTAATCACCGATATGTCATCGCTGGAGCATGCGGCGTTATGACAATTCGCCCCATGGATTTCCACCTCATCGAGATTCAAAGGACTGTCGACGTACTCCAAGTGGACGTCGGTTCGATTCTCGATTTCCGAAATTCCGCCGGGCTCGGCCTGGTTCTCGATCGAGGCGGTGCCAATGTCGAAGTCGTCGGCAACTGCATCAATCGCAATCGCGCCGACGTTGTTTGAACCGTTCGCGTTCACGGAGTCCGTAAACTCATTACGGATGCCATTTATTACGAAACCGTCGCTCTCGCGAAGCCGATCGGCCGAGCTCTCAGATCCGCGCGCACCGCCGTTTCGATTATCAAGCGCGTAGATATTGCGACGGTTTAAATGAGTTTGCCTCGCGGCTCTAAAGCCGAAGCTCTCGCGATCGCTTCGATCATCCGCGAGATCATCGGGGCGCTCCGCCGGAACATTAATATCGTGCTCGCTCGATCGGGTTAAGGCCTCGCTCCAGCGCAAACTACGATGAGCCGAATAATCGCTCGTGCGTTCATTCGCACGATTAACGGGCGTTTCGGCGAATAAATTACCATCGTTTACACTCGTCCGTTTACCCCCGTCGAAACTGACTTCATCACGATTCCGGCGGCTTCTCGTCGGCTCCGACGAATGACCGACACTCGAAACCTCGCGCGAATGCAATCGATCGATCGACACTTGGATTAATCCGTTCTCTGCATCGCGATCGTTAACGGAGTTCTCGGCTAGATTGCCGACACTTCGGCGAGGCCCGCTTAAAATCGTCGAACTTGCTTCATTATCACTGTCGCGAAATTGAACTTTGTCCATCACAGCTCGATTCACCTCATAAGGAGTAACTTGAATCGTTGGCACATCACGTCGCTTCTTAATTAGATCGTCCAACCAATTCTTCGCATTTTCTTCACGCTGCTTCATGCTGACAAAATTGATCGATTTACTAATTCGCCAATTTCTCGCAGGTTCATCTAATCGATCGTCAGATTTTCCTTTCGGATAATTACTCGCAGATCCAGAATGCATTTGATCATTAATATTGCTCGCGAAGTTATCATCGTCGAAGTAATCTCGTCTTATCACTGACAAATCGAATCCATCGCGGTTTCTCCGACTTTTCAGCGAATCACTGGGATGATCATTACCGGTTACGTCGCTAACACTTTGACCAGCCATGCTCGAAGCTTCGTTTTCGTGTTGCATCCATTCCGGAATCAGTTTGGAAGCGTAGAGGTCTTTCCGCTCCGAGTATCTTCTTACGTCAAGGTAACGGGGAAGCGCGCTCAGGTCACGGCTCTGGGGCCTCGTCTTCTCGTCGCACGATATGACTGTGCGGAGAGAGGTAAGGCCAAGAAGGAGGAGGGTCAGGCAGTGGCGTGCCTGGAGGATTTCGGAGGAAGAGAACAACAGGAGGAGACGAGAGAAATGCCGCCGCGTGCGGACGCGCGTCATAATCAGTCGTCGATTCTGTGACGACTCGAGGCGCTCTTCCGGTTTCTCCTCATCTGCAAAAGAACAGATCGTATCGTGAGATTAAGTTCAAATCGAGCGATATATATATTCTAAAATCATTGGTGTATGCTATATATTATATATTATAATTAAAAAATGTCTTTCTTTGCAGGTATAAATTTTTTATTTAAACCTGGTTTTACCGAAATTATTATTGTAATAACATTTTATAATATAAATAATTTTCTACATTTCTTGCAAATATCATTGAACGCGATAGGTTTGGATGATGAAATTTCTTCATCTGTATACGAAATCGACATTGGACTCGATAGGTTTTATTATGTTCTTCTTTCCTATCTATAAAATCGAGAAAGTACTTGCGGATAAATCAGGTAACTCGCTGTACAAGTATTCTCGCAAAACTATTTGCGCTAGCTTTTCGCTATTTATAGGCGAAAAGTTTATTCGCTCGTGTTATAGATACCAGTCTCCACTCGGTATCAGAAGCGTATCCGCGCAAAAAAAAGTATATCTCGCGTAAAGAAAAGTTCTCTTTCTGCAAAAGTATTTTACATTTAATCCACATTCGAAAACTCTTATCTATTCGAAACTCTTATTTGAGGCTCGTTTTTGGCGATGGGGCGTTATTGTACACGTTCAATATGTCCTAATTATAATTTACAACAATTATCGGGATACAGCGATCGTAACAAAGCTCGACCGCATAATTGAAAAATAAAGTAATCTGCTAATGGAAATATTCATATAAATTCTCGACCGGCTAACCCGATATCACGCTCGGCCGATTTTACACTTGGAAGATCCGATGTTCTCAATTTCAAATAATATAATAGGCTTACGGGAATGAAATAATTTCATTAAATTGGCAAGCAAGCACAAATGAAATTCAGATGGAGGTATTACGTCCCGAGAAATATAACTGCGACACTGTATTACATTTACGAGCCACTTTTGGGCTTCTCTTTAATTATGCCAAGAATTTAAAGCTCATCCGTATCCAGAGCCCGTTAATCTCGCTCTTTTTTTATACAGATCTTATACTTGCGTGCGAAACCAACAGTAATATGTAGATTTAACGATTAACATGTAGATTTTACTTCATAAAGTACACGAGGAAAATTTGTTTGCATTACACATTAAGGTCAACGGAAAACATCAATTGTTATTTTTAATATACAATATAATATAATTTGTTACGATAACATCCGGCTTGTAATTAAATAGAAAGCAGCAATAGTTATTGCGCATTATTACGAGCAACATCTAACAATATCGAAACGCTTGGGAATATAGTATATAAAACGAGATTGCGAAAGAAAAGCGGTCAGACTAAGCTGCCACTATAATTTGATTTCCATCGGCAGGTAATGGGGTTTCAAACGAGATTAGAGAAGTCTTCGGGCTGAACAAGTTTTATCTACATCGTTATTACGCGGTCAAGACGAGAGATGTAAAAAGTTATAAAGTTTCCCGATGATGGGACAAGCCGCAGATATACTTGTTCTTATTGCGCACCGCCACCGGAAGATCAACATCTTTCACAATTACGACAAGCCGATGGTCGCAGGTAAATGTCCGACGACATTTACTCCGTCCCTTTGTCGCAGTCGAAAGATCCATTAAGACGTAATATAGTTACACGACAGTATCGTGCGCTAGTAACGCTGTTAGTTCCAAACTCTGTTATGAAGGCGTACGAAATTCGTTTCGAAGCGCAGCTGTCGACCCTTCCCCCCTTTTTTTTTCTTTATACCAAGGGGCGGAAAAGGATTTTGGGAGTTATAGCGTTTCTACACACGAATTTCATATTAAATCTTGCAATTTTGTTACTCTACTTTTCTTGTCTCGAATCGGAATTACGAGATTTTGCGAAAGGCGCTTGCCTCCGACTGAAAAAGTGAGTCGCTCGTTTAGCGAAACATACATTTGTTCTCTCAAACTCAAAAACTTTCTCGCGTAATCTACTTAATGTGGGGACAACCACGGTACGAGAATCGCAAAAGGTAGCTTAACGGGCGGGCTAACTTTTCACTCGGGTAATGAAATTGTTGACCTCGCTTAAATGTTTTAAATACACATTACACAACTCGACAACGCTAATATAACAAGACAAACAAGACAATTAATTTTACGCATATGTTATTATACCGTGATGATCTACTGTTCCTGCAATAGTTGCTTTAAAACAAAAATTTGTCAAACATATTAGTTTTAAAAGAGATAAATTTGAATCAAATAATTAAATTATGTCTACTACAAAAATAAATTGATTTTCTTCGTCTTTAACAATATCCAATTTAATCATTTCGTTTTCCTTACAATTAGATGACACCATACATATATAAATACACATGAAATATTTGAAAGCTCGACATGTATAATGTACGTTAAATTTTAAGTGAAGTTAATATGAATGAGTGACAGCTTACGAAAAGAATGATAAATGGCTGAAAAACATTAATGTCGGAAATACACAAAATGAGAAGAATATGTTTTTTTTTTTATAAATATACACTTTTCAATCGGCTATTAACTTACATATTGTGTGAGTATTTCTCATGCTTTTAATTTTAAATAGAAAATTTATCAACGGAAAATAAATATCTAATTCTAAGTAATTTAAAATTATGCATAATCTTAGAACAATAATAAACCTAACAAATATGAAAGTCTAGCGGCAATAAACGGTTCAATCGTTCATATTCAATTTTCGAATTGTACATGCATTGAATTGTTAATTCGCTTTAGCACCTTCCACTATAATGAACACAACTTCATTTAGTCGTGCGCTATTAATCATGATCAATACCCTCTTCTTTCCTCTTCGTCGATCTTATAAATCATTTTATATTTACGAGACATAATTCTGGTCCGTGTCATTATTTACTCCCCGTCAGCCAGGAGTATTATCTTGCTTGCTACAATAAAACTGATTTTATTTCGACGTTCTCCCGCGACAAGCGAGGGGTGGCACCAACGTCCTTCTGCGAAATTTCCCGATCGACAGAAGAGCGGAAGATGCGAAATCTCGCAAAGGGGTAGATATCCATCGAACCTGACCTACCGTAAATTGCGGTCGTGCGTCCCACGTATTTCGCGGTAAAGGGTGGGCGAGTGATTCAATTCGAATGAGTGATGTGTTATAGGACGGACAGTTCCAGTATTTCCTATATGTCGCTCATACCGGAAGTCGGGAATACATGAGGTGTGCCTGATCAAGAAGTGTCCTGAATGCTTCATGGTGTTCACGGCGACGACGACACTAAGTGAAATACTTTCAAATACTACTTCCGGCACTTGCTGATTATTTTGCAAGTTATTCCGTACCGCTGAGTTACGTAGGTAAAGATAAGTTACCATCGTCGAAAACTTGGTTTTATATTAAACGTAAAATTGCTATCAGTCGTAATTATCTTTGTATTTAAAGCGTGACTGTTAAATCTGAGAGGCCATTGACGAAGAAAGTCGAGTGCAAATTTAACAAATAAATTATTACGGAATTATTATTGAGTTTGCTATCTCTGGTATCCAGAGCCCCTAAAAGAATTTCTTCGAAATTATGTGTGGGACATGAATATTGGCTTCCCGGACACCTACTTGCGTTGAAAACTTACGTGATAAACTAGATCACTTAAACAGAGATAACGAAATTAAATATTCAGTACAACATATGTATCAAGTGTACATTTATAATTGGATGAGACTACATATCAATATAGAATCGACATTTTTAATAAGATAATAAGATTTTCAAGATATAATAAGATATTTTTGTATAATAAAACATTTTACTTAATTTGTCATTTATTCTGTCAAATCACTCACTAAAGAAATGGTACGTTGTTATGGTAAATGGTATATTGTTATTTTCTATAAACATTTTTTTACAATAAAATTTTCCTGAACTGCTGTTGAGAGAACTTCTGTTGTAACTAATATGTAACTAATGAAACTAATCAAGTAATTAAAAGAAGAAAATGCAAAAAAGCCGCATGAAGAAAGATTAGAGAGAGAAATTCAGATCTTTAAACTCGCAGACCTTCATTCCCTTTAACGATTGTAAAAAAAGCATCTTAGAAAATTATTTTTTGTTAAGCAGTTAATGGTGAATTAAAGATGAATATAGAAAAGGTTTTGTCTGTTTCATTTGCCAGTTTTAAGATACGATCAATAGATGTCTACTATGCTGATGAATCATTGCTTTTAATTTATATTCTTATAAATTCTTTTTAACTAATTGCTTGATTTTTTAAATAAAAGATTTAATTTTATAATTAGAACGTGAATTGAAACCTTTGTTACTAAAATTACTAATCGATTATGTGATTTAAATGAAATTATGACGAACCTGACTCGATGTTTAATACGGAAACGTTTTGATAGACTGATGCATCCTGATCTCGAAACTTCTGATGGACAAATGTGATATATTCCAACAGAACAATTTCTACATAGTCAGCCTCAGAAACAATAGACAAGTTCGATGTATGGTTAAGATTAAATTTGAGATTAGAGGAACGGTTTTGTCAAAGTTAGTTGGATAATCGTGGCTTGACAAGTTGAGACAGTTTCACTTCTTGTTTTGTATAATGAGTGCTATTTTATGAGTTGATTGACATCCGTTTTGACATACGCTTAACTCACTTAAATCCGGATCAGTTGAATTATTTCGAATTGCTAAATCGAAGATTGTCACTTAAGCAATTTATCCGTTCGATCTGCATCATCTTTATTTATTTAAATACACTGACATTTTAATGTACCCATAATTGAATTATTATCTATGAGAAGTCAAGCGATCGATCCATTTATCTTACGTGCCGATCATACGCTACGTGCGATACTGGTTTGCTGTCCTATTATTAAGAAAGGCAACAGCTGCAAACTGCCGAAGAAATCCACGAAAACGCTACATTGAATTTCAACGACTATCTCTCACGCTACGTGAGCGTCGAAGTTTTTAGCGCAGTTTCCTTTAAAGGCTGAAAGGTATTAAGTTTCTTGACGTCGACAAGATAGTACTAGCGGAAGTTTCAGGTGATGTGCGCGTTTTCTCACGCACCAAACACCGAAACTGTAAGGAAAATCTGAGAAGGACGTATGGCTCCCCTCGAGTTTGTTGATAGTTTTAATTTTCCATGAAAGGAAAGTCGGCGGAGTTCAAGAGAAGACGATTCCAAACGCGTGGGTGTCTTTATAAGGCGCACATTTTAACGATAGATTACAAACAAAACCGTCAACGATTTCGCGTTTATTATAAACGAGCCAAAGATAAAAAACAAATTAATTAATGCATTTTATTTACCGACAGAATTACGAATTTACATTTATCAATTAAGTTGCTTTTTAAGTAATTTTTTATCCGCGATTGTACTTTCTGTTTTATACGTGTCACGTTAATATTGCTTACACGCCAAAATACAATGGAATATTAATATAAACAATTTGCTGATTGTTGAAACTGAAATGTAAAGCTGTATTTGCAATCGTAGCTATATACATATAAATTTGCAATTGTCAGCACCGTTGATTATTAAACGAAGTATTGTCGGAAAATATCTATTGACATTCACTGAAAAGCGCGCCTTTCGACAAACGAGGAGACAGGAGGAGGAGTTCGAGGCGTTAAATGCCGAGTGCTTATTGCGTCTTACGACGGATAAACGGATTTGTGATTCTCTCTAGAGTTGTTAACGCTGGCGTACTGACCGCTTTAAGGTGCGCGTCTGAAAAGATGTAGTAAAGCGAGTAAGCACGCGAATTACCGTAAAATTGTGCGGCATTCCTCTCCCGGCCACATTTCTCTCGCACACGGCTTCACCAGAAATTGATTTCGGCGGTCTCTTTGCTAACTTTCGCAGGCGGGATTCCCTTTCTGGTACTTCGCCACCTTCGTTTGAAGCTCTGCTAAGTCCCGTTTTTACTCGATATTAGCAGTCCGGCAGTCCTCGTTCCGATTAATCTCGATGCTCTCACGGCCGTTTCGGTAAAGTGTCACTGAAACTCTTCATCACAACGCATCCAATTTGTGTATCGCACGACACATCCAATTTACGCACTAGCCGGGGATGTCCAATCGAACTTCCGCCCTTTGATCCCACAGGATCACGCTCTCTCGCTCTCTCTCTCTCTCTTTCTCTCTCTCTCTCTCTCTCTCTCTCTCTCTCTCTCTC